GAAGAGAGAGAGAGAGAGAGAGAGAGAAATTAGGAATTAGGGCTGGGGATTTAGCTCAGCGGTTCGGTGGCCTGCCTTACAAGCGCAAGGACCTGAGTTCAATCTCCAGTACCAAAAAAAAAAGAAGAAACTGATGTTTTCAGGAAAATGGACATACCAGGAGGGCTTTATTTTAAATGAAATAACCCAAACAAAGGAAGACAAGGATCTCATGTTCTCTCTCATATTCGGAAACTGAAAGAAAATAGATGAGCATGTTTGAAAAGAGCTTGTCACAGTGAATCCAACTACTTTATACAATAATGTATTCATTCCTGTAATAAAAATAATAGTAATAAAAAGTTCTAAAAGAAAGCAATAGGCATTAAAAGACACGTCACAAAATAAAATAAAAAAACAAATGACTGTGTTGAACATCTTATTTGGGTGATGAAAATGTTCTAAAATGAAATCATGATGATAATTGTTCAACTTGATCAATTTACAGAAAATGATTGGATTTTACAATTGAAACAGGAACAATTATAAAATATACTAAATATTTTTAAAGTTGTTAATAAATGACCACTGATTTTTATTTTTTGAGACAAGGTCTCACTGTATAATGCAGGCTAGCCTTCAACTCACTATATAGTCGAGGCTGGCCTCGAATTCTCCATGATCCTCCTGCCTCAGCCTCATGAGTACTTGGATTGTAGGTGTGTGTCAATATGCCCAGCTGATCTGTAGATATTAGAAAAAAAAGAGTGACAAAACTAGTAGACTGACTGATACTCATAAACTCAAAAATAAAGTAAGACAAAAAATACTTGACTTACGAAAATCCAAAGTGGATGTGAATAATATGGATAATTCTACGCCAACAAATTAGGTAACCTAGAAGTAATCATTAAGTATCCAGGGGTTATAGACTATTAGTTTGGCAATTTACTCTCAAATAATTCAGGGAAAAGAAAGTCTATTCTTTAAACTGTAGCTGCACCCTCTGAAATGTAAAAATGTTTCAAAAAAAGACAAAAATAATGATTATCATATTAGGTTGCTATTTACAGAAAGGCTTATTAGATCTTATAATTCTCCCCATTTCAATTGTACAATCCAATTATTTTTTTCAGTAAATTAACTAAGTTGTTCAACCATCATGATTCCATTTGAGAACATTTTCATCACCCAGTAAGATGTTTAATGCAGTTATTTATTTCTGCATTTCTTTTGTGAGGTATCTTTCAATGCCTATCACTGTCTTTTAGACTTTTTTTATTAACACATAGTGACTATGTTAGCAAGATAGAATAGGTGATAAGAAATAACATAATGTCTAATTTCAAACAACAATTGTTTGCCTCTAATGAGAACAAAATTCACCAAAGCACAAGCCTTTTAACATATATTTACATAAACACCAATGTCTGAATTTGTGACTTTAGATGTGGAGGAATTTCAGAATCATCTAAAGTTTGAGTAGCTGTGGAGTGAATGGTTAAAATGTTGCACAGGTCACTGGAAATGAGTGTGTCAAGGAACTGAAAGACACAGGCATTGGGGGAGGCAGGCAAGAGGAGTTGAGAATCTGTAAGATGATGGCAGGATTTAGGATGAAGAGATAGACCATAAATTAGGTTCTATGTCCTCACTGTGAGGAAATAAAGGAAGCTCTAAGATGAACATGGGACAGAAGGTTCTAAGTCAGAAAGAAACAACCTGAAAGAGGTTGAGAAATAATAAACAAGTGATAGTACACAAATAGCAGAGGGGAGGAACCCTAAGCCTAATTTTAAGAGACGATGCTTGGCTGGCTGATTCTGCCACAAAACTCACATTCAACGGGTGACGTCTTCATAGGGCAGCAATCAAAGAAGTTGTTTGAAGCCTGGTCTGCAGTTGCTGTCAAGAAATCAGTGATACAAACAAACAATTTTCTGTAATTTTCTTCTGGTCGACTTACAAAGGGACACAATAGGAAACCCTAGCCAAGTAATGGTGCTATCACGTATTTATTTCCAGTGCCCAAGATTCATCCTGCCATCTGTTGCATGTGGCAAAAGTCAGTAACACATCTATTTTATTGGGACAATGATACAAGGGCACCCTACTTGAATATAAGGTGTATGGGAAGATACAAATACATCACTTGTCTGGGCACATGAGTGCATATAATGCATACCCACATATACGTACTACATTTAATATTATAGTTCAGTAATAGATGAGACTGTCTTTTAAGCTTCAAAAGAAATCACCATATATGCTATTCAAATAATTATCTTCTCTACTGAGAGGTCATGTAGTGAAGAGGACACCTAAGATTGAGGTGTTGGGAGATGTCAGGCAAGCTATTTACTTATTTGATTATTAGTTCCACTTTCTTGTGAAGTCAGTGTACTTAAAGTTCCTTTGGATTTTAATGCTAAATCATTTGTGATTTTATTTAAATGTAACTATTTGGAAACATACTTTGTATATGGAGAACAGAACCTATTTATTCATATAATATATAAAATTAATATACATAATTATATTAAGAATATGGATTTATGGGTTGAACTATTATAATTTTCTAGTAGATTATTTTACTACTGGCCACCTTTTCCCCTTTAATTCCACCCTCCGCTGTATACACTGTACACAGGAACATCAAAATGATTCTATGAAAATGAAGCATATGCTTTTTCCTTTTTGTTCTTTCCCATTTCTAAACTTATTTATTCTCTCCATGCACCAATCTCTAATACTCAAATCTTAGCATACTAATAAAAGTGGGATGTTTTTAGGCACCTTGAGACCACTAGATCATGATTTTCATCATGTATTATTTTTCATAGGGCTATTCCTCTTTGATTGCTTTCTAATATCCAAAATCATAACAAGATGATAGATTGTATCATTTCTTTCTTATAATATTAATTCTTAGGGAAATCTGTTTACCATGCCCTTCCCTTGTAGACTCTTGTTAGATTGTGATCCTTCTGAGATGAACATGTCACTGAACACACTTATTAGGAAGAAAGGGAAATGACTTGGCATTGAAGATTTTTTCTTTTTATGGATTAAAAAGGCCACGAGAATCTAACAACCTTGGAAGAAACTCAGACTTAATGCACCCAGAAGATTTCAAATCAATACTTAGCATTAACGTTTTAATTGAGAACTAACATCAGTAGAATTGGAAGTGAGGATCAGCATCTGGATGGTCAGAAGGTGATCTGTTGGGGGGAGGTCATTACACTGGAGAGCACAAACAATGGCGAGGAAAGCACAAATCATGTGTTGCCTTGAACAAGGACACAGAGTTCATACCTGAATTGGTGGTCAACTATAATTTGTTTCTAGAGCCAGAAACTCTGGCAACACTACATTTTGGACTTGCAGCAGAGCACAAAAGTAGGAGTTACTTTGAAAGCAAAGGACAAAAGAACCAAGGGAGAAGTCACTAGTTATGAGCTCTCCTCCTCACAAGGTTGTACGGACTCTCTGCTCCATCTAAGAGCAATCTGTACCCCTCTGGGAAATCCCGGCGTGCCCCACAGCCACTTGTTATTTCCAGCATGCTCTCTTGCTAAATAACTACCGCTTTTGGAGGCCAAACATATTTAAGTCTGTCTTATCAAAAATCCTTTATTTTTTTGTCTGGGAACTCCAAAGCAATATATTCCCAGCCTGAACAATATAGGTAGATTTTTTTCCCCATTTTGGCAAAAATAAACTTTAAAAAAATTATGTCATTTTCTCTTTGCCTCCAATGTCTTGAAATGTTCGATCCGTTCTCCGAATTCCCCAGAACCCCCTGTTCCCCAGTACCGCCCCAAGGCCCTTCCACCTCTTCCACATTCCAGGGTGTGAATTTGCTGTTAAGATTTTAGCTCCTCTGCTGAGAGAATTTAGAATGGGGGATTTTCCACGAACAAGTTCTCTCCTTTCATCGAAAGTGACAAAGTCTGTTCACAAGGACTGCCTGTGTCTTTTCCCTATGTGCCCCAGGAGGCAAGAGAGGACCCTGCCAGCGAGGAGTCCTCTGCTCGGCCCTGCACACCTCTGTCCCTGGCCTTAGCCCCAAGGTCCGCGAAGTGTGCAGAACTGCAGCGCTCAGCTTCACTCTCCACGCCCCGCGGGGCCAAAGACCCTTTCCTTCGCTCAGAGGAAGGGCTCTTGTGAAAGCAGAGTTTGAAAAGCCCCAGCACTGTCAAGGTCAGGATCACCAACACTAGCACTGCTATGCTTACAAGTATGGAGACCACGGTGGAGGAGAAGTCAAAAGACTGGGGCCTGGACGAGGCAGGAGTGGAATTAAATGTGGGGATCATGCTTCCCCACGGAGTGAGCCTGGCTGTGGGTTCGGCGTCAGGGGATATCTGAAGGGAAGATATCGTGCTCCGTGGTCCCCACTGAAGAACCACAACAGATGCTGAGGAACTGCCCTGTCCAGTGACATTGGGTGGTCTCTCTCCTGGCTTCTCCTGGACTGTAGGGCTGGCTGCAGTGGCCCCCTGGCTCCAGGTGGGTACTTTGGTCGCCCCAGGGCTTGGCTGTCCTTCCCTTTTGGTCACACAAGAGCGTCCATCCTTTCCCAGCTGGAAGCCCTCAGCACATTCGCAGGCAAAGTGTTCCAAACCCTCCAGGCAGTGAGAAAGCTCCGCGCATCTGCCAGCACGGAGATACCCCCCTGGGCAGGGACAGAGCACCGCGCCAGAGGGGAGCTCGTCCCAGCGCGCTCCAGTCTCTTCCTCAACGCAGGTGGCTGCGACAGAGCGCTCCCCAGGGCAGGTTGCACTCACCTTGGTCCCCGGGGGACTGAAGTCCAGCGCGGAGCTGTGCAGCTGGAAAGGAGCGCGGTAATTCAAATTAGAGGCGGCCCCTGGGCGCGGCGCGGGGCACAAGTTCTCAAACTGGTACTTGCACAGGTAACCGTTGGCGCGCAGGTGGCAACGCATCTCCTTCCAGCCTGCGGGCTCTGCCCCCCTAGTGGCCTGGAGTCCCGCGCACTTGCGCACCGTACAAGAGCGTTGCGGCTCCTCCACCCAAGGCAGGGTGTCGTTTTCCGACGCACCGGCGTCGGGGGTCAACCAAGAGAAACCCCTCAAGGGTTCGCTCTCCAGGGTGCAGTGGGAACGCCCGCGCTCCAGCGCCACCCAGAACACCAGGTCTTTGGAACCCCCTCCAGGCCCGGGGCCTGCCCGCAGGAGCGCTAGCACCGCGCGCAGCTCTGCGCCCCCGTGCACCGTGCTGAGC